TAGATTGCAATAAAAATCAACAACAACGAAAAAAGAATAACATTCTACCAAAACATTAAGCACAAAGAATTTAAAAGATGAACTTTTTGGATAGGAGGACAAAAGGCTATAAAAGGAATAATCTTACAATATTTTTCTATAATTCCAGTCAAAATTTTTCTGGAGCTTGATAAAATGAAAATACTTAAGAACACTGTAAAGCCCAAGTGTGGTCGCACTCACCTTTAATCCCAGCACTCAGGAGGCAGAGGCAATGGGATCTCTGTGAAGTTAGGCCATGCCTATCTTACTGCAATGATGAATAAGACAAGAAAGACACTATGCAAGCTATATGCATCATGCATGGAGTCACTGGCTATACATTTATGAAATATGAATACATCTACAAGAAAATAGAAGCTCATCTTCAAACTTAAAATTTTTAATATAAGCAAAAAATCAAAAGAAGGAATGCCATGATTTTATACAATTAAAACTCAATAAATTAATAAAATAGGTGAAAATTAATACACCATGAGATGTTATTTTGAGGACTTTCTACTGAGCGAATATTGAAGAAACTGGACAACATCAATATCTTGACAATAAGATAAAGAAACTGGCTTTCTCCTCCTCTGTTGGTGACTCGCAGTGAAGATGAAGAGCTAACCTACTAGAAGTGAAGTAATTCAAAGCAGCATTCAAATACACATCCTCTCACCCAGAAGTCCCTCCTAAGAAACCCAGCCTGAGACTGGAGGTGAACATACAACCGTAACCGTTGTACTTCACTGTCAAAAGCAATGAACTGGATCCAACTCAAGAGTAAATAAGAAGAAGATAATTAAATTTGTAGTAGTAGAAAGCAATATTTCCACATAGTATGAAGGAGCTAAAGAAAGAGATTGAGCCTATAAAATATCAGATACTATTGAAAGCCATTTTGGTGAATGGTTGTGTCTAAAAAAGAGCAAAAGAATTTTATAGAAAATTTAATAGCTTTTAAGAAGAATCTTTGGTGGTTTTATCTCTTTATTCCTTGTGTCATCTTATTCTTTATTTATTTTACAAAGAAATCACTCTTGGAAGCAGACAGAATAACATGGCTAATACAAACTAAAAATGTAAGTCCCTTGCTCCACACTAGGTGTCTGGTCAAAGTGATCAGTGGAGCCAGAAAAAAAGAATCAAGACTCCCACAGACAAGGGACACATGTCCAAAAGTTCAATAAACTGAATGTCCCTTTTCCAAAGCTTTATGGACTACCTTTTTCTTTTTAAACATATTACCAAAAAAGTAAAAATTCTCTAAGTGCATTTGTGTATATGTGCACACACAAGCCCACACACTGCGGGGGCCTCAGTTTCTCCACCTGGGAAATGAATTTATTAACCCCTATTCAAAAATCTTACTGGGAGGGTGGAGTGCATCAAGGAAAGGCCCAAATGCACTGTGGTTAGTCAACCCCTGTCTTTCCCTGAAGGAGAGGCTAAGTTCTTGCCTCGTAAACAGTGTGTTTAATCTCCAAATGTGCTCATTTCTATCGGCTATGCCAAGGTATTGTGATGTGTGGCTTTGGCGGTGGCTGCAGCGGTGAGAGGGGATATAAATTAATATTTATTTACTACAGATAGGGCAGTGATGATAGACCAAAGAATTTCACCCAAATCTAGTTTGGTGAACCAATGAGATTATTGGGGTTACTTACAGGGCATGGGTAACTCAAAGACAGCTATATTCCTAACCCAAACAGCCTTCCAAATATGGGTGCACCCTTGGAGTTCCCTGCCTGACTTGCAGGCAGCTCTCCTAAAGATTTCCTCCTCCAGTACCACCACAAATCCCAGCATTTGTAACTGCTCATCTCTCCCTGGGGAGGAGTATCGTAAGATCTAAGCTTCCAGAGCTGTGGTGGTTTGAATGAGGATGGCCCCCACAGGCTGAATACTTAGTCTTCAGTTGGTAGACTGGGAAAGATTAGAGCTATGGCCCTGTTGGAATAGGTGTGACCTTATTGGAGGAGGTATGTCACTGGAGGTGGGCTCTGAGGTTTTAAAAGTCCACACTAGCTAGACCCAGTCTGTCTCTCTCCTCTCTCTCTCTCCCTCCCTCCCTCCCTCCCTCCCTTCCTCCTTTCTCTCTCTCTCTCTCTCTCTCTCTCTCTCTCTCTCTCTCTCTCTCTCTCTGCCTGTGGATCAGAATGTAGAGCTCTGTTACTGCTCCAGTATCATGCCTGTCTTCATACTGCTACACTCCTCACCACGATGCTAATGGACTAACCCTCTGAAACTCTAAGCCATTCCCCAGTTAAATCCTTTTTTATTATAAGCGTTTCCTTGGCCATGGTGTGTCTTCAGCAATAAAACATTGACTAGAGAAGAGCCTTGTAAGTTTCTTGGACTTCTTGGGTCTTAGGAGCCTTTCTCCTCCCTCTTAGAGAGAATTAACTACAGAAGAATTAACCACACAACACATGCCCACCTTCTTTCTGGCACCTCTAATACTAGGTAAGGAGTGACCAGCCTCATAAATGTTATTGCCTTAACCAACATCATTAAGTGGCTTCCAAGAGCCTTGAACTTGATTCCAGGCCAATGGCTGCCAAGAGAGGCCAAAGGTAAGACTCAGGTTTCTGCCTGTGGTGAAACACACACACACTCACACAATATTCACACCACTTAGATAAGAGTAATCAAACTGCCAGGTGGGACACTGACGGTTTCCCTCTAACACAACAGGAGCCAGGGCCACCCTTTCAGCATGGTCTAGCTCACCAAGAAAACCCAGAAGCCCAGGATTAGCAAGAGCATGTGACTCCTCCATGGCTTCAATGCTGACCCAGGCAGGAGGAGGCAGGGGGATCTTTCTGGCCCAAGATTTAGTGGCTCTTAGCTCTGGCTTAGTATTGGCACCTCCCAGAAGCTCTTAAGTAGGATATGCACGTCCAGCCTCAGTGATTCTGACTTCACTAGCCCCGAGGAAGGCCTGAATACAGACTTTAAATCCCTAAAGTACAGCAGAGTTCAGAGCCTCTGAAGTGGGCTCAATTCTGATCCTGACCGGCACTTTCGGTTAGCGTGTCTTCCCGTGCCGCATGAGGAAGTGAATTTTCCTCTGGCTCTCCTAGGAGCCACACAGCAAAGGAGTTCCTAAGCTCATGCAAGCTCCAGAAGGCAGGGAGTATGTTTTCTTATCATCGTGTCTCCGGAGCCCAGTCAACAGAATAAGACATTAGTTTGTGAGAAGCAAATGTGTGAGTCCTCTCCTCTCACACCTCCTGAGTGCCCAACATCTAATAAATGAGCTGCAAAGCATTGAGGATGCATCTGTGGCAGGCTTATCAGAAATACAGGCCCTCAGATCCTGCCCACCTCCACCGAATGAGAATGTACGCTCTGACAGCAATCCCAGGTGATTGGTGTGCCCGAGGCAGCATCACCGATTCTGCCGTCTATTAGGGAGTCTCCCAAGCTCCTGAGATAAAAATGTGTGTGAAAGTGCATAACCCGCCCACAAACCTGCCGCCCAGGTTCAGAAGAAGCGTGTGTACTGTGGGGTCTGCCTGCCACACACGCTAAACCTTGGCTCCAGCTCACCTAGAGATACTCTCTTTCCCTATCCTGTTCCTTGGTGGGCTGAAGGCCGACCTTGATGCAACCCTAAACCCTATTCTACATAAACCCCAACCTGGTTCAAATCCCACCCCTGCCGCATTCCATGAAAGTGGTAATAAGCGATTGAGCCGAAGCCCAACCTGTTCTGAAGGCTTTAGGGAAGGTGTAATGTCTTAACTGAGGCAAAGGGCTTGTAACAGTGCCCTTTACCAGGGTTTTTCCTTGGCCTTTTCTGTAAGAGGCTTCCTAATAGGAATTTACATAAAAACCTCAATCCTGGACATTCTGCTTCCATCGAGAAGCAGGGGAAACTGGGCATGTGCCTGCTGCACTCAGGACACTGAGGTGGGGAGGATCGGGAATTCAAGCCAGCCTGGAGGATATAATAACATCGTGTCTGAAAAGAGGAGAGGTGGTGTGAAGGAGGAGAAGAGCAAGTGAAGAAAGTTAGATAACATATATAAAGGATCGCAGTTTTCCACAAGATCTCTCTTGAGCAAGTCAAGGCTGCCTAAAGGGACTTTAGCTCTCTGCCTTATTTTTCTTTGGGCCACCTGGGGGGGGGGGGGGAGCGCTACAGAGGAACACGGGCCTGGACCACTGTGTCCTGAACAGGGACAGCTCTCCATTCCAGACCATGGTACATGGTGTGTGTGTGTGTGTGTGTGTGTGTGTGCTCTAAAAGGCAAAGGAGGAAGGGCTTCTGTGAGGAAAGATGGTGTTCTTCCTCCAGAGGGCTCCGCGGACACCTGTCCCGGCTGCAAACTGTCAGCGCCCCACGCTGCTCCCAATCTCAGGTCTCAGGGAGGCCGCTGCCCTCTGCGGCAGACGGCGGTGCGCGCTCCCCGCTCCAGCACCAGGCTGGCCCGGCAGCCCGCGCGCTCTGCCGGTGCAGCATGCGGGAGCTGTGACGTTCTCGGATAAATGCCGTGTAACTGTGTAGGCGAATGGGAGCTAAAAATAAGAACGGAAAATCTATCATTAAGGTATCATTGCGCCAGCGCAGCTATTTGAAGGCTCCCATGGTCCCCGGCGCCTGCGTTTGAAGCCCGCCTTCAGGCTTCAGGGGTATTTGCTGAAAACTCCCAGCAGCGGCTTGCCAGCCAGACCTTAGGGCTCACCGGGTGACGCTGGCAATTATGGCAACATTCAAAATGAAATAAAATAAACGGTCACCTCTAACCTCCCAACCTCACCTCCTATATTCTCAGATCGCTGGCGAAGCCATGGGGAATAGGGCTAGAAACTGAAAGGAGTGAAACCCGAACGGTTATGCAAAAACTAGAACATATTCCATTCCTTCGCTATTCACCTTTCTCTTATCCATCCACCTTGGATTAGAAAAATAAAGTAGGGAAGGGAAGTGAGGGGAGGCTTTAGGAGACAAAATGACAAATGGGGCTTACCCTAGGTCTAGAGTGCGCCGCCGCTGGGCGCAAAGAACGCAAACTCCGGGGATGGTGAGTCTCCGGGGTTCCATTGGATTAAACGAAAATTGATCTGATTTGGTTTAGAACACCCGAAGTGCAGAAGAAGAGGACAGGGAGGGAGGACGAGGAGTGTGTGTGTGTGTGTGTGTGTGTGTGTGTGTGTGTGTGTGTGTGTGTGT